CTCTCCTCTCTGCCCTGATGACGTCCGGAAGATATCCGGCCCCCCTCCGCGTATTGTTTTTTACACAAGATTCCCGGGAAATGGGTCTTCGCTTAGGTTTTTGTTTCAAAATGTTGCTCCCGCTGCAGCGCTGGCCTCATTTCCGCGCTTCCGCTCGTCCCGAATCGTGCTCTCGCTGCAGCGTTGGCGTCATTATTGCCAGTGCCATGCCACGGCATGGTTTTCGGTCCTTCCAAATAGGCCCCAAAAGAACCTCCTGAAAAAACCATCGGGGGTGATTACACATCCGGTGCCGATTCGATGATTTTGGGGCCGCAGAACCCCCCCCACTTTGGGGCGTCGCCACGCCATGCTGTCATGCTACGCGTTGATCTTCAACACCATGCTATACCATGCAATGCTTTGCCATGCTACGAAATCCAGTTGTGCGAATAGAGAGGAGATCTACGCCATGGAAAGGGATGGGAGGGAGGGGAAGGACGTCAGATATGACGCAAGCGCACCTCCTCCCCCTCCTCCTCCTCCTCCTCCTCCTCCTCTCTCCTCCTCCTCCTCCTCCTCCTCCTCCCGATCCTCCTCCCGATCCTCCTCCTCGTCCTCCTCCTCCTCCTCCTCCTCCTCGTCCTCCTCCTCGTCCTCCTCCTCCTCCTCCTCCTCCTCCTCCTCCTCCTACTCCTCCTCGCAGCAAGAAGCCTGGCTGGTACTCCATTCCCGGCTCCATCAGCTGCAGAAGCTTGCCGTCCGGCGACATGAACCGCACGCCGGTCTGCAGCTGCTGAACGCGCGGGGGGGGCCTCCCTCCCTCCCTTCGAGGCCTCACACCTGGCGGGATGCTCGTTCCCTGAGCAGTGACTCGTTCGACGATCACTTCTGGATGGTGGGCATGCTCGAAACGTCAAGAGCAGCCCGAAAATTGCGTGGTCGCTGGGGCCGCACCTCGCGAAGGATGCAGCCTCGCGCCTGGTCTCGAAAGCCACTTTAATCTCGATGGCCACAAGCCGCCCGCGCAGAACCGCGAAGCCTTGGAGTCTTGGGCCGGGCAGACGCGTTTGACGCTCCCGGCGTGAGGGGCCGACGCGGGCGCCGCCAGACGTACGGAGCCTCTTGGACCCGATGCCAGGCATACAGCCAGCCCGTACAACAAGAGCGCACGACACGGATGCAAGGGCCTCGGAAGGCCGGGTCGACCCTTGGCGAGCGGGGCGCGGCCAGCGGGAGCGGCCAAGGATGGGCCGAGGAGGCCAGGATGCTAACCAGGGTACTCATGGAACGACTGCCCCTCCTTCCTCTGCGGGCTGACTGTTGCCTGCGTCTGGACGAGGGGGCGCTCCGACGAGATCCGGCGCCCAAGCTTTTAAACATCTGCTGCGGCCAGCTCCTGTCCAAGGCGAGCTCAGGTCTTGTTAGATCAAGGAGGAGGAGGAGGAGGAGGAGGAGGAGGAGGAAAAGGGGAAGGAGGGAAGGGGGGAAAAGGGAGGAGTGAGGAGGGAGGAAGGAGGTAGGAGGAGAGGAGGAGGAGGAGGGAGGAGGAGGAGGAGGAGGGGGAAAGGAGGAGGAGGAGGAGGAGGAGGTAGGAGGAGGTGGAGGAGAGGAGGAGGAGGAGAGGGGAGGAGGAGGAGGAGGAGCGAGGAGGAGGAGGAAGAGGAGGAGAAGTGGAGGAGGAGGAGGAGGAGAGGGGAGGAGGAGGGAAGAAGAGGAGGAGGAGGAGGGGAAGAGAAAGAGGAGGAGGAGGCGGAGGAGGAGGAGGAGGAGGAGGAGGAGGAGGAGGAGGAGAAAGAGGAGGACGAGGAGGAGGAGGAGGAGGAGGAGGAGGAGGAGGACCCCGCCCCGGGATCCCACGCAGGTGCACGGCGGCCGCCCGGCCCAGGGATCTCCCACACGCACCTCGGGGCCCGATCTGGGCTCGGGCGCGGGGCTGCTCGCCAGGCCAGGCCCAGGTCTGCGACGAGAGGGCTGCTCCGATCCTGGCGTTTTCCTTCGACTTCGGCATACAGTGCGGGCGCGGCCGCAAGAACACCCCGCAAGAAACCCGGCCCTGGAAACCCGCGCGCGGGGTGCACCCGAAGGGGAACCCCGAGCACCCTGAACGCAGCAGCTTCTCCAACGGCTGCGGGAAGTCACCGCGCAGCGCGCGGAGCGAAGAAACCCAGGATACCCTGACGAATAGCTTATGATTTCTTGATGCGCGCCCCCACTGTAGGGCTGTTATCAAGCCCTGGCACCATCAGGCATGGATCCAGGAAGCGGGACCTCTGGGGCCGCGGGCTGCAAAACTCACAGTGGCGGAGGTCGGGGGACCCCAGTGGTCAGCCATCTGCCCAGCCGTGGGACCTCCCACCAGGACTGCAGGGTCTCAAAGGCCCCACCCAATCGCAGACATTTCCATCGAAGAGGCTGCACATGAGAGACCGATGAGGACGTGCAGACTCCAGGTCAACAGTGTTGTTGGAGACGCCAGTCGCAGCAAACACGCGCTGCGACTCGCCAATGCGTGCCCATCGGGCGGATTTGAACCATTCCCGTCTAAGTTCCTGTTGCTGGATGCTGTAGTTATGTATGCACGAGATTCAGGATCCCAGCTGCCATCGACTTGAGCTCAAAAGACGTAGACGCTTCGTTGTCGATGTGGAAAATGGCGTGGAACAATGACGTCCGAATGCCGAGGAATCAGGACGGCCGCCTAAGGAAGGCCGCCTGGTGTACGGCAACGGAAGATCAGCTTGCACAGCTGAAGACGACAAGTTATGGCTGCCTCGCGGCCGTGAACCTTCTAAAATACAATGAAAATCATAAGCGTCGCATTTGTTCTCTGATCATCGGCTGTCCGCGTCCCTCTCCATTTCCCGCCAGCCTTCTCCACAAAATTTGCTGTGGAAAAATCCGCCGACCCTTCCGCGTGTGTGAGACGCTGTCGTCGTCTTCGTCGTCGTCGTCTTCGTCGTCGTCGTCGCCGCCAGTCCCAAGGAAATTGAGGAACGCACAAAGACAAGGAAGGTTGTACTTAAGCAAGTTCCCTTCACTGTGTCCCTTCCCTGTCGGGGGGTGGTCCAGGGTGAGATTACCGCCCCCCCATGGTTCCCCCCACTGTGGACAGGGGGGAAGAACTCGTGGTCCCCCCGGTGGACATAAGGATCTCAATGCCCCCACCCCCTCCCCTCCCGGGTCTCCCCTGTGGACACGGGGGACAATCAAGGGGCCCTGGGACACACAAATAAATACACACTAATAAAAGGATTCCCTATATTTTCCCATATTTTTGGGATTACTGTCTTCCCCCCCACTTCCCATATTTTTCCATATTTTCCTGGGGATCGACGATTACTTGTGTCTGTGTGTGTGTTTTTTCCTCCTGGGACAAGGAGAAGGGCTCCCCCTTGTGTGGGGGGGATCCTGGTGAGGGGGTCCCAGGTCAGCTTACCGCTCCGCCCCCTCCCCGGTCCCCTCTGCGGACAGGGGGCTCTGCGTCCCACCCCACCCCCTCTGCGTCCATCCCCCCCCCTTCTCGCTCCTCCTCCTCCTCCTCCTCCTCCTCCTCCTCCTCCTCCTCCTCCTCTTCCTCCTCCTCGTGCACAAGGGGGACAGAGGGGCGGCTCTGGACAGGAAGCACTCGAGACCCCGCTCCCGCGGACCCCCCCCTCTCCCCAGGGCGACCAGGGGACCCCCACCCCCGGGGGGGCGCCCGGAAACGCCGACGCCGACGCCGCCGACGACGACGCCCTTCGATGACGACGACGACAACGACGACGACGACGACGACGACGACGACGACGACGACGACGACGACGACGACGACGACGACGACGACGACGACGACGACGACGCCCCCCGCGGGTCCCAGCGGGTATACCGGGAGCGCCAGCGGGGGTCCCGGGGGAGGTCCCGCGGGCAGGGTCGGCGGCACCGGCCGCAGGGCCTTCAGAGTATAACCCCCCTAGCGTTCGCCAGCCGGCAAGCCTGGCCACGCCTCGGACGGGCGCGGGGAGCGTCGCCCACACGGTGTCCCTGCTTACCAGACCCCCTCGAGTCATGAAAAAATCACGACGGGAGGTTTTTCGCCATTTTCGGCCTCCGGGGGCCCTCACCGGGCCTCGGGAGCGTCAAAAAACGACTCAGGGTGCAAAGCCGGTCATGGGGGAAGGGTCCAGACCTCTGGGGGTCGACGTCATGAAAAAATCATTACGTCGGGGGTCTGGGAACCTGGCCACGCCTCTGAGGGGCGCGGGGAGCGTCGCCCACACGGTGTCCCTGCCTACCAGCCTGGAACACCTCCCTCTCCCTATGTTGGGCATCGCCTCATCACGATGGCGATCCTGGGGAACTCCTCAGCTTCTGAGGGCGCATCCCTATAGGACTGCCATCGCCCTTGCACGTGCCAATCTGAGGGAGAGGGATAAGTTCGAGGCTGGTGCCCCTGCGGCAAGAAGCTTTTTTTACTTGACGAGGGAGCCCAAATGCCTCTGAAAACGGGTGTAATACACTGATTCGGCGAGCTGTCGCAGGCACGCTCCGTGCCCGCACTTTGGTCCAGCACGCAGGCCTGGGGCGAGCGCCCCCCGCGCATCAACGCGAGGAGCAGGCAAAGGCAGGCCGCGGGTCGCAGTATCTCCCGAGAGGGCACCGACGGTGGTGCATCAGCCTAGCTATCTCCGATGCATGGTGTCTGGATCTATTCGCCCAAGAATAGTTCACGACGGGAACTTGAAAAGAAACAATGTCTCCCCGCTAACCGAAGAGGTATGCCGCGGCCTCTTCATCAGCCTCATGACATTGCTCGTGCGGTGCCGTGCCGTCCGCAGGCTGGGGAGATGTGGAGGCATCGGGCACCGTGATGGCTGTCACGGAGTCTGCGCTTGAAGTTTCCCTCTTCAAGGAGGAAGAGGTGGGTCGGGGAGCCTGCTGCGCCGTGCCAGGCACGGTCTCACCTCTAACAAAGATGATGGGGCGGCGGCTCACGGTCGTCAGCCCTGCTGCAGCACGTCCAACCACGTCGCCACCTCGTCCTCCAGCCAGCCCGCGGGCATGACGCCCGTGAATCTCGTTGCGACGCCCTCCGCCTTGAAGGCGTGCGTCACCGTGCCCCTCATGGGCCACGTAGGGCCCGCGATGAGGAGCTTGGCCTTGCTCTCGTCGTGGGGCTGCTCGATCTTGATGGCCTGCACGTCCAACTCCACCTGCTCGCGGGTGATGGTCGGCTCGCCCGTCGTCGGTTCGATCTTGTCGAGGTAGTCGTTGACCTGCTGGCGGCTCACGCCGCCCACGTCGCATGTGGCCAGCTTCTCGAGAAGGGTGACCGCCAGGGAGGCGGTCGGGCTGCCAACCGCTCGAAGCTGATCTGGTCCTGCCTCGCGCGCGGTCTGCACCTGCTTCCTGTAGTCCTCCAGCGTCTGCTACAGCGCCGTGATGACCGGGTGTCCCTTCGGCATCGTGAACGTGTCGACCACCGTCGCCATCGTCAGGCGCTGCCGCTGCGCTGTCTGGAGGGATAGCTTGGCTATCGCGGCCAAGCACTGCTGGATGTTCGCGTCCTTGCTCGTCCACTTCTTCTCCGTGTGGCCGCCTCGGCGATGACGGCGGCCTCCTCGATGTCGTCCTTTGCCTCCAGCCTTGCCGTCGAGGATCTTCTGCAGCTCCCCCTTGGCGTCGTCCATGGCTGTGTCCCTGTCCTTGTCGCCCTTCCTTCCCTTCTTCGGGTCGGGAGGCTTGGAGTCGCCGCCAGAATTCCCAGACGCCTGGGAGGATGCCGCTGGGGCGGCCGTCCGCCACGCTGCTCTCGGCCGAGGGGGGCCTGGCTCCTGGAAGCTGCCCGTCGCCGCTGCCGCCGCGCCGCCCGACATCTTGTGCAGGTGGTGCTCGAGGTTCAGCAGGCGGTGCTTGGCGAGGTCGCAGTAGCGGTGTGCTCGCGGCTGTTACCCGCGAAGGTGCCGAGGTGGGTGGCCAAGAAGAAGAGGTCGGCGGAGGTCGAGCTGCCACTCGTCGTCGCACTGGTCCCTCTCGTGCCCGTCTCCGAGCCTGGCGTCGTGCAGCAAGTTGACGAAACGCTGCGCGCAGGTCTGCACGAAGGTCGGGAGTGTCGTCCAGGTCGTCGAAGGTCGGCGGTGGCGCGCCTGGCCTGGGGGCGCCGGCTGGGGCGCGGACACTGTGCGCTGGCTGAGGCTGAGTGACTGTGAGCCGAAACCCCACGGATGTATGAGGAATGTGTGTGGCCAGGTGTGCCCGCAGCTCTGCTGGGTCGTCGTACTGTTCCTGGCACTCTGGTTGATCCGTATCTTCAGCCAACGGGCAGCGTGTCTCAGCAGACGGGGTCCAATCATAACAGTGGCGAGTGAGATTCTGAATGCACCTGCCTGCTCTCCACGCGCCACTGAGATGCCTCCGCGTGTGATCCACGCTGCCGAAGATCGTCTGGCAGCTAAGGCATTTATTGTCGAGCGTAATGACGGACAAGATCGGGGGGGTGCCGTGTCCAGGGAGCGTCGTGGCCCATATTTGGTGTTTGACGAGCTCCCTATTGGTGGCGAAACGTGCTCGGCAGCCCTCGATCCCGCAAACTAGCGGGGCCAGCTCGGCCTCGTCACTCTCCGTGTCCCCCACCTCCTCCCCCTCCTTCGGTAATTGTTCCAAGAGAAATTCAGGTGGGGCCCATTCGCGTGCCCATGCCGTCGTTCTCATCACTCGAAAATCACAATATCTGAAAGCCTCGGTGACCTCAGGGTTCCCAAAGAAATTGGCCATCGTACGGGGTTGCCAGACTTCCTTGAGCTCCTCACCAATCGGGTGGGCCAGGGCCGCGTTCAGGTCCTGAGAAAACTGGAGGGCCCACGGGTGGATGTGTGGAGACGGGTTAAGCTCCCCATTCGGCAAGACAGTGGCATCTGCAACCTCGTTGCCCGCCTCTCTGGCTCGTCGCTCAAATCGGCAATCTCCAAAGAAAATACTAAGATAATGGCGGTGGTGTTCGGGGTTCTGCGGCAAGAAGGAGCAGGAGGAGGAGGAGGAGGAGGAGGAGGAGGAGGAGGAGGAGGAGGAGGATGGAGGAGGATGGAGGAGGGAGACGAGGAGGAGCGGAAGGAAGGCGATGACCGGAGCGGCGCAGGCCCCCCCCCCCCACGCCACGTCCGCCACGGGCCGCCCGACGCGAGAGAGAGCCGCGAGCCCCTCGCTGCGTGCCTCGATGGTCTCCTGGTTCCCCAGCACCGTGAGCGTGGTCGTCGTCAGGTCGTCCGACCTTCCGGGCCCGACTCCGCCGAAGGGCGAGGCGCCAGATTTAAGTCGGGCCTGTCCCCCTGCAGGGGGGTTTTCGACGACAAATAAAAAAATACCCTTAAAATAATCAAAGCATAATCCATAAATAATCAGGGGACTATTTTTTTAATATCTGTTTACCTTTTTTGTATATTTTTTTAAGGTATTTCTTATTTTTCGTCGAAAATCCCCCTGTAGGGGGACAGGCCCGACTGAAACCCAGCGGGCTGAGCGCCTGCCCCGTGCTCCGCCCGCCCTGCTCCTGACCTGCCCGGCTCCGGAAAGCCCTGGCTCGGAGGCGGCCACACGGGGGGTCCGAGCCGGATGGGCCCCTCGAGGATCTGCCCAGAAAAGGGGGCGAAGGCAAAGCCTACACCAAAACCTGCCCCAGGACGCCTCCCCCCTGACTCCGGATCCGCCCTACTTTGGGGAAATTCGTAAGTAGGGCTTGGAATTTCCGCCTTACTTTTCAGGCCCCGCTGATGCCAATTTCCGCCCTAGGTACTTTTCTGTTGCTGTTTCCCCCCACTTCTGTGGATTTCCGCCCTACTTTATGTTGGGTGCTGAAATTTCCGCCCTGCTTTTTCGGCTTCTTATAGGTGGATTTCCGACGCAATTTTAAGTTGGGAAAAAAGCCAAAGTAGGGCGGATCTGGAGTCAGGGCCGGGCAATTTTTGCCCCAGATATCAATCCTCGGCGCCCGCGACAACGGCCCCCGGAGGCCGGCAAAGGCAAGCACACACGTCCTCGAGCCCAGGATATCTCGGTCCTCGCCCGCCCCCCCCCCCCGCCCGCCTGAACCAAGTCGACTGGGCCACCCCTCGGAGTCCCAGCTCCAGACCCTGGACCTAAAAAAATGCTGACGTTTCTAAAGTCGGATTACCCAGACCCCCCTCGCGTCGGCACTGCGGACGCACCCGGGGCGAAAGTGAACGCTAGCATCGAGGCAGATTTTTTCCGAGGAGGGCGGCTATCAGTTGCCGGCGCCGGTCTGCAGCTTGGGACGTGGAACGTGGAGGGTTTCACTGAGGCCAAACTTGTCGAGCTCCAGATGCATATGAAATCATATGGGATAGATTTACTTTGTCTCCAGGAGACACACAAGCCGAAATCGGAGTACACGGTCACCGAGGAGGGCTTCCTGTTGATCTTCTCGGGGGCGTCCGCCGACGACGTCAACGAGACGGCAGGCGTGGGATTTCTGATATCACCAAGATTGCGCCGAAGCGTCGTCGGCTTCCGACAGGCATCTTCGAGAATGGCTTCTTTAAAGCTGAGAGTTGTTTGTGGCAAGATTCTTGTGTGCAGCGCTTACGCCCCCCATAGCGGGAAGCCGCCATCGGAGAGGCAGACATTCTTTCAAGAGTTGAACACATTTCTTGGGTCATTATCCTGTCATGGGCCAGTTTTTGTATGTGGCGATTTCAACGCGAGGCTTCACGTGCGGCGCCCAGGAGAGGAAGAAGTTCTGGGCGCACACGTATTCGGCAACCGTCGTGCGCAGCATAACCCATCTTCAAATCGTTCTTTCTTGGTCGAGCTATGCACTTCTCGGGGCCTCGCTGTTGCAAACACGCTGTTCGACGAGCCGGCGGAGAGGCGGGTCACCTACTATGACATCGGTTCATCTCCGGCGGACCCCCCCACAGAGCAACATTTTGGCCAACTTGATTTCGTTCTCGTCAGCTCGGAGTGGAGAGGCTCGGTGCAACGAGTCTGGAGCGACCGCGCCGCAGCGTTGGCATCGCACCACTTCCTTGTGCAAGCCCGTGTCTTGATCGACATCCCCCGGACAGAGCCGAGGGCCGGCAAGAAGCGGAAGGACCATTCTGTTCTGCGGGACCCGAGCGCTGCGAATTCATTTGCCAAAGCCTTTTGCGAGCAGATGGGCTCCGACAGCGACGATGCTGTCGACGAGTCCGCCCAGCATTTGAATGAGCGGATGACCCAAGCATTCCTCTTCGCCGCCGACCGCGTTCTTCCTGACACGAAGCTGCTGCCCAAGAGGCCTTGGATCTCGTCGGGCACTCTTGCGCTCATCGAGAAACGCAACGCCGCTCGCGAGAGGGGGTCGCGTGAGGAAGAATGCGAGCTCGCCAGGCAAGTCCGGGCATCTGTGAAATCAGATAGGTCGCAATGGTTGGAAAGCAGCCTCGCCACAGGGGAGTGGGCGCCGATCCGGCAGCTTCGGAAAGGCGCCGCCTCGAAGCAAGGCCGGCTTGCAAACTCGAGCGGAGAAATCGTGGACTCGGACCAGCGCGCCGACACTCTGGCACAATATCTCGCCCAGGTTCAGTGGGCTGTCCGGCCGACGACAGTCGCCGAATTCACAGACAGCTTGGGTCCCACCTTACCTGTGTCGTGCGATCCCATCACCGAAGGCGAGGTGTTGGCAGCGGCTGCCAAGCTGAAGAGGGGAAAGGCAGCCGGCGCTGACGGAGTTCCAGGCGAGTTCTGGAAATCGATTTGCACTCCAGGGACCCCTGCCTGCAGGTGGGCGGTGTCTTTGTGCAGAAAGTGCTGGGAAGAACGCGTGGTTCCTGACGCTTGGCACAAGGCGCTGGTCACGGCTGTCTTCAAAAAGGGCGAAGTTGCAAACTGTGAAAACTATCGGCCGATTAGCTTGATTTCAATTGGGTATAAGATGTTCGCTACAATTCTTTTGAACCGTCTGAAAGCAGGCGGTGCTGAACAAAGAGTCTGGAGTACCCAGTTCGGTTTCAAGAGCAAGCACGGGACAGCGGACGCGATATTTCTCGTTCGTCGTTTACTTGAACGTACGTGGGCAGAAAAAAGCGGGCGCTTAGTCTTGCTGGCTTTGGACTGGGCGAAGGCATTTGACAGTGTTTCGCCCGAGTCGTTATGCCTCTCACTGGAGCGGTTCGGCGTTCCCACCCACTTCATACAAGTCGTGCGTGCCATCTATACAGATCGTACTTTCTCTGTCCGTGACGCCGGAAAAACATCCGAAGAGCATCCGCAAGCGTTCGGCATCAGTCAGGGTTGTCCGCTCTCTCCATTCTTATTCGCAATATTGATGACCACCTTGTTGCGCGATGCAAAAAGAGAGGCAGACCCCTATCTGAATAAGAGCATGCATGTGCACGAACTTGTTTACGCAGACGACACACTTTTGCTAGCCACCTCTGGAGAATCAGCCAGGGCGTACATGCATGCCGTACAACATATGGGGCAACAGTACGGTTTACAGTTTAATTGGCGCAAGCTAGAAACCTTGGCTGTAGGTACCGACGTATACATTCTCAAGCCGGACGGCACCCCGATCCCACAGAAGGGAAGCATAGTTTATTTAGGTAGTCTGATTAGCGACGACGGCAATATAGGGTCAGAGTTGTCGCGCCGCCTAGGAGCTGCAGGTGCAGACTTTGACAAATTGGCTAGGGTATGGAGCCATTCGACTCTCACGCGGCAGAACAATATTCACATTTTTGAGTCTTGCGTTTTAAGTAAGCTGTTGTACTGCCTGCACACTTCGTATCTTAATAAGCAGGAAATGCGCCGTTTGGACGCATTCCAAGCGCGATGTTTGCGCAAGCTGTTGCGCATTCCCCATTCATACGTCAGCAGAGTCTCGAACGAAATCGTGCTTCAACGGGCCAACGTCCGCCCTCTTAGCAACACGCTCCTCCGTAGAGAGCTTCATTTTCTTGGTCACATCGCCAGAAAGCCAGGTGACGACGCTGTGCGTTGCGCAGTGCTCCAGCCCTTTTCCTCCCTCCTCCCACCCAGAGAAAGAGAGGGCGCCCACGAGCAACGTGGTCCCGGGAAGTTTACAGGCACGCCTGCGATTCAGCTGGGGGTATGGAGGCCCTTCTGGCGCTGTGGCAGGACACCATTTCTTCGGCCACGGCGTGGCGTGTCGCAGTCAGCAAGTACTGCGATACCACGTGATAGTGGCTATGTGCTCATGTGCGTTTCGTACTCAGCATTTTGCTTTGCTTTGCCCTCGTGTCGGGAAAAAATCACGACGGGAGGCTTTTCGCCACTTTCGCCCTCTGGGGGCCCTTCCCGGGCCTCGGGGCCGTCAAAAAACGAATCAGGATGAAAAACCGGGCCCAGGAAACGGGTCCAGACCTCTGGGGGTCGACGTTGTGAAAAAATCACGACGTCGGGGGTCTGGGTTGGGGACGGAGGATCGCGCCGCATGGCCAATACACCGGGGATGCGCCGGCGATGCCCCGGCGATGCACCGGCGATGCATCGTCGACGTGGGCGATGCAGCGTCGACGTCGACGCGAAGCAAATCGGGCCCCACATCGAGCCGCATCGGCGATGCATCGGCGATGCATCGGCGATGCGGCGCGATCCTCCGACCCCATCTGCTCCGACCGCATCTAAGAGGCCTAGAGTCCCACTTCTGCTTCTGCCGCCCGCCGGCGGGCCCGCCCCTGTTTGCCTTCCGCCGGCGGCCGCTGGCCCTCCGCCAACTTCCCGCCGAGGAGGAGATGGCAACCCTGTCGATCCCGCGAAGCCGAGGCCCCTTCCGCAGAGGAGCAAACTGCAGCGAGGGTATCGGGCAAGGAACCATTCGACCAGGAATCCAGGACTTGGAATCCGGTGGAACTCCGATCGTGGACGGGCCGCGGATATCACTGCCACCCTCCTCAGACAGGACAGGGAAGCCTCCAGGGTCTGGAGGGCCTCCTGGGCACATTCCTCCACGGACGCCCCCACCGCTTCCGAACAGAACCTTTCGCACCGCCCCGGCCCCGCTCCCTAGCTCGCGGAGCGCGACGCAGGCGGCGCTGCCAGGGAAGTCCAGCGCCGACCCAAGAAAATCTGCACGAGCCTCCGACCGTTCACGCGCATGCAAGACTGCCGCGCCTCGAGAGGAGGGCCGTCGACCCCTGCCGCCCCCCCGAGGGCGAGGCCCGTCGCCCTTCCGCCCCGACCGCTGACTCCGCCCTTCCGCCCCGACCGCACGGGATGGGCCTCCTGAGCGCGCCGCCCCTCCTCCTGCTC